GATCTGAGATCGACTGCATGCTCACTCTGATTTCTCATTAAAACAGGTTGAAAACAATGCACTGGGCTCTTTCTCCTCCTGTGTCCTAGCAGCCGGAAACTGTGGGTCAACTCTTAGGACCACAACAGAAGGTTTCTTCAAATGAACGTGCTCTGAGTGTGAGCAGCAAAGGGGACAGAAGTGCATGCCTTCTAGGACTGAGGTGGGGGTGGAGCGCCCAGGAAGACAGCAAACAACGCTCCAGGGAGGACTCCCCAAGTGCCAGGATTTTTGCATGGCTGACCCACTCCATCAAGAAGGAACTCTGCTTAGGGGCTTCCCTGGCAGTCCAGTAGCTAGGACTCTGAGCTCCCAATGCAGGGGGCCCAGGTTTGATCCTTGCTCAGGGAACTAGATCCCACATGCTGCAACTAAAACCCAGCATAGCCAAGACTGGCATGCTGCAGTCCAAGGGGTCACAAAGAGTCAGACATGACTGAGCGACTGAACTGAATTGAGATATATATATACATATATCTTCTTTTTTTTTTTTTAAGGATGAACTCTGCTTAGCCTCATGGGTCAAAGGTAACAGGCTTACATTTTATGACTTGAAACGCTCCGTGCCAATAGCTGGTGGGCAGGGCTCATCCGTTGAATGAACACACATGCGCGTGGCTGCAGGGGTCAGGAGGAAGCCAAGCGCTGGGGATCTGGGCAATGCAATCCACCGCTGGCACCTGGTCACCTTCCTCCCTTTCCTATTGTTGCTCTTTTCTGTCTTCCTGGTATCCTTCCCCTGACCTCACCCCTCATAAGCCTTCTTAAATTCTTCCACAATTTCACTTCTCTTCCTCTCTGCATTTTTTTTTTTACTCCAAGAAAATGGAAAACATGCAAAGATAAGACTTTCAGTCCAAGGCAAGATGCATTTTTTTCCTTTCCCTCAAACTGCTATATTTGAAGTTTAAAAAAAAAAAACCCAAATACAAGTTGACTCTCGGTTTAGATCAATTCATTCTAGTGAGCCCATGGTGCTTCAAAACATGGAGTGTTTGAAGTGATTTGACAATTCATTGGCCAGGAACCTGGGACAAGAACTCACTAAATCAGTTGGCAGAGTGGTCCCACTGCCGCAATTACGTGGCCTGTGCGGACAAAACAGGGCTCTTCAGGTTTGTAATTAATTTCTGTAGGAAGAAAAGGTAGGACACAGTGTTCCCTTGATGTTTCTAGAAATAAGCAGAAGAACTAAAGATGTAGGCCCATTTTGATTAGGTTACCTGGGGTCACGAATACGCTTCCTTTTCCCTAATGACATCAGCTCAGGTTTTTCTTCCCATAGCCCTGAGCACTTCTCCACGCCCATCTGCACCTTAAATTCCTCCACCTTTCATCCCTGGGCAGGCAGAGTGAGGACCCCGGGCATCTCTGGCCTCACCCACTGCACCTACAGCATCCTAAAAGCTTCCTGACCTCACTAGCCATTAAAAAAAAAAAAAAAAAAGGCACACTGTTCCTCCCTCAGAATGATTCTCATCTCCAAGACTCATGAATCAACACAGGGTGAGGAGGAGGAAGGAACGGGTAGGAATGTGAACGGGCTGGTTCAGAACTGAATGTCAACAGGGAGCCCTTCTCTGAAGCCATGTTTTGGGCAGAGCCCCTGCCCCTGGGGCCTCGGCAGGCCCTCACTGAACAGACAGCCCCAGGGAAGCGTTGCCAAAGCTGTTCCGAACACCGAGCTCCAGGCGGGGACGCCCCGTGGTCTGGCAGCTTGCGTCTCAGCCTGGGCAGGTGAAAAGGAAGGGCCAGATGAGCTTGAGAGCCTGGTGGGAAGTGGGGTCCCAGGTGGGAAAGGCAGGCACCCAATGTCAAGGCTCTCCAGAACCAGAGCCCGGCTCTGCCTCTGGTCCCCAAGGCCACCTCTCTCCCCACCCTGGGGTCCAGCTGAGAGTCCGTGCTCACGTGCTCCGGTGTGAGAGCTGGTGGGTTCCCCACAGATGCGGGGCGCAGGGCGATGGCTCACACAGACGGCAAGGTCTAACAGCTTCTGGAAAAGACTAAATCTGTTCCTCCCTGCAGGGGCTGGAGAGGGGAAAGGGAGGCCCACCCTGAGGGGTGCTCACAGGGCAGGTGGAGGGCCAGCCAGGTTCGGACACCCGAGGAGGCAGATGGCCCATCCTGAGGCACATCCTTCTTTTGACCCTTCTATTGCTCCCACAAACATCCCTCCTGCTCAGCCTGTCTGCCCATCTACCATCTTCACAGAGGCTCACACGCTGGAACAAGTCAAATAACCTTTGCCGTCTCAGAAAGGAAATGCCTTTGCTGAACTATTTCAAGGAGTCCGGAACAGAGCCCACGTCCCACCTCCTCCGTGAGCCTCTGAGGATACACGTTCCTTCTCCCTCACCTTCTCCAGGAAGGACTTATTACAGCGTGAATATTTATGTCTTTCTCTAGCACCCTCTCTTTTTCCCCTGCCCAACAAGACAATCTGCACCCCAAACTCCCTGGGACAGCAAGCATTGACCTCCAAGTAAAGTGGGAGCATGGTGGTACCAGGCGGGCATACCCAGGAGTCAGTGGGCAGCTCCTGCTAATGTGCAAACTCACCCTGCCACGCCCGGCGAGGGAGAGGTCGGGGTGGGCTGCGATGTCCCTAAGTGGTCCAGAACTGAAAAATAAGTTTCTCTGATCTGCCCAAGGTCACTCGGGGAGTGTCCTAGATGGCTCGCTCATGCTCCGTCCCCTCCCCCACCCCCTTAAACACAGAGACGGGCTCTGTCCCCTACCTAAGAAGCATCAACACGACGGCTTCCCAAGCACTGATCAGGCGAGCCTGCAGCTGCTAGAAGAGGTGCTGTGAACTGAATAAAATCAGGAGGTGAATTTGAGGGAGAAACAGCCCACATTTACATAATGGTCTGAGGGCCGAAACTCATCACCCTTCCCATGGCTACCTCTCTCCCCCAAGCTCGGAGAGAAAACGGCCCCCACGGCATCGCCTTGAGCGGCACACCCATACACACACTAGTCACTCTAGTTTGGGGTGGGCTGGGGGTTCAGTGTGGTGAGGCGACAGGGACGTCTCCCTCCAAGGTCACAGCCCACAGGACAGAGGCCAGCGCCAGCCTCCTCAGGCCGGACACCTGCATCCTCCCAGAGGATGATGAATAAACTCAGTAAGAGGCAGAGGAAAAGGCAAGGGACAGGTTTCCCCACGGGGTACAGACAAGAACAGCCTGGGGACGAGAGAAACCCAAAGAAAGCTTCATGGGAATCAGCCAGGTGGAGACCACAGCCAGCCTGGAAGGGGTGATGAGAGGCCAGAACAGTCAAACAAGGCGAAGGTGGACAACCCTGGGGACCTGGAGGCAGAGGCAGAGGAATAAGGACCCAGCACACCTGCTTCAGGAAGGGGAGCCAAGAGAGAGAATTCTTTGCCAGATGAAACCCGAAGGACAGAGTGCCTTGCCCTTACTTTGCTCTCCACCCCCCGATCCTCTGCTTTTAAGAGCCAGGACTGACCACAAACTATTTGTCACAACTCCTCCATCATTTTCCCTCTAGCCACTGACTTACTCCCTGAGAGACAAGGTGGGGGTGGGATGGAGCAACAGTGCTTCAGGGTTAATGAACGATGACAATAAACCCATCTCCTTTCAGAAGCTCAGTTCCAACACTCGAGTTTGTCAATATTAAAGTACCCATACTTTGTGGATTTTGACTCAAAATCAGCCACAGAGCATCATTTTTTCTCAACACCCTCAGTATCCAGGGGGGAAAAAAAAGAGATGCCCAGAAATTTCTATCTGCCTTTCTCTCTCTTCATCAAGGTACAGGTGATTAATGTCCTCAGCAGTAAGGGAAGAAGGTTTTCAGGCCAAAAGGATAACAAGCCGAGTGCAGAGATGAGCTGAAGCTCTAGGACTCTGGGTGGGAGCCTGCAGGCAAACTCAGAAGGAGGGCTGGTCTAGGGGGTGGTCTCCATGACTAGGGCAGTGCCCACATTGTGTGCCAGCAACGGAGGCACGTTCCAGGGCAGGGTTCGTTCCTTGAAAGACTCTGCTGAACCATGTCCAGCCATTCATCAGAGCTGAGCTTGCATCCCCTGGGTGCATGGTTCCCTGAGTTGTAAAGAGAGACTGGTTTTTCCATTCCCTCAGCTTGGACCTCCCAAGGGGTGCTCCGGAAGCTAGGGTGGCGGGGTGGGAGGTAGTCAGGGTGGAAGCCTGGGCAACCATATCTTGAGCCCTTGGCATAAGTTTTGGCAGGAGGCAGCCCTCCACTACCTCCCTGGTGTAAGCAGTGAAAGATGCCCACCAGGTTGAGCATAGCAAGAAGCATTCACTCTGAGTTCTGCCCACAGGGCTTCAAAGAACAAGTCCTCCAGTCTCAGCAGGGCAGATAAGCATCCTACTGGGCAGGATGCAATGAAGAGAAACCATCTGCCCTTGGTCAAGAAGGAATGGACAGATTTGAATTCCTGCTTACCCAGGAGGCTCCCTTTTTCTATCACCCCCATCTCTCTAAACACACGGGAACAGTCAGTCCACACTCTTTTCAGTAAGGTTCCAACACTGTTCAGCTCCCTATATCCAAGATGACTACTCTGGCTTGATTCAGAAAACCAAAAGCAATAAGCGCCTACAACGAGGTGCCCACCTGCCATGAAACCCCTGGAACCCCACCCGGGATTACGGGAAGGTGCACAATTGCTACACTCAAACTCGGGGATTCCACCAATATCTATTTGGCCCTGTAAATGCCCCTACCAACCAAAGCGTGCGTGTCCGGTTCTGAAGAAATGGAGCAGAGGGCGCCGAAGGCTCTGATTTATTGCCTGTCAAAGAGGCAGGGGAGGGAAGTTGACTTAAGAGAGTGGAGGCAGCCCGAGGAGGGCGGGAGGTGAGATGCCAAGAGGACAGGGAAGCCTGAGAAGAGGGGTGAGCCGCCGGGAGGGAGGCTGGGGAGACGGGCGGGCCCCCCTACTCACGCCGGGCGGCCGCGCTCACCTGTGGATGTTCATCTCCCGCGGCGGGCGGTGGGCCTTGTCATAGGAGACCTTGGCGAAGACGCCGGCCACGATGACGAAGGCGATCACCCCGCAGGTGATGTAGACGGTGAAGTTGGTCTTGTCCTTCTCCGGGTCGTACTTGTTCTCGGGCCCCGGCGACACCACCTTGGTGCTGGGCGTCTGCACCCACACCGGGCTCTGGTAGTTGGTGCACTGGCGCTGATCCAGCTTCTCGTGGCGCTTCTTGCAGCAGAAGCGGTAGTAGCAGGTGCCGCAGCAGTACAGGTAGCCGCTCTCGCTGTTGTTGCACTCGAACTCCTTGTCGTACTGGCCGCTCACGTCGTAGTAGCCCCAGCACGTCTCGTAGGTGACGGCCGCGCTGGCCGCCGCCACCGCCGCCGCTGGCTGTCCCCGCCGGCTCCCCGCCTCCGGGCCGCCGGGCGCCCGGACGGTGCCGTTCAGCTCGCGGCCGCCCCGGGCCAGGGCGCCCCCGGGCCGCCGGCCCCCGACGGCCGCGGCGCCGGCGCTCAGGGTCCGGTTGGCGGCGCGGCCGCGGGCGCCCCAGGCTCCGGGCAGCAGGTCCAAGGGCTGGAGCGAGAGCAGCGGCAGCAGCAGCAGCAGGAGGCGCCGCAGCGCCATGGCGGGGCCGGGCGGGAGGGCTCGGGAGGCTTCCGCGGCAGGCCGCTCCCCGGGCCGGCCGGGCTCCGAGGGGGGCCGCGCGGGCCGGGCGGGCGGCGCGGGGCGGTCAGCGGCGCCTGGGCGATGGCGCCATCGGGGCGCGGGCGGGCGGGCGGGCGAGCGGCGGCGGCGGCGGCAGCGCGAGGTACGCACGGACCAGCCCAGCGCGAGCGGCCGGGGCTCAGGCTGCGCGCCGGCTCCGCGCTCCCCCCGCGGGCTCGGCGCGCCTCCCGGGCAGCCCCATCCCCCGCCGGCGGCGGCAGCGGCGGCCCCGCGCGCGGCTCGGCTCAGGCGGGACCCGAAGCGCGGCTCCGGGAGGCGGCAGCGGCGGCGGTGGCGTGGTCCCGTCCGGGCGGATCCTGCGGGACAAGACGGAGAGCCGGTCACGGGGTGGGGAGACCGGGAGGCGGGCGGCGGGCGGGGAGGGAGCGCGCAGCCCTCGAGGAGCGAGGCGGGGGCCGGGAGGGGCGCGGAGCCCGCTCCCGAGACGGGGCCCGGCGGCCCCGGGGCGCACCGGCCGCCCGATCCCCGGCCGCCGGCCCCGCGCGCGCGCGCGCGCCCCCGCCGGCTCCCAGGGACGGAGCGGGCTGTGGCCGGGGTCGGGCGGCGAGCAGGGGAGCGCGCGGGGCCCGACCTCACTCACTCACCATGCCCGGCTGCGACTGCAGAGGCGGCGGCGCGGTGGGCTGGCGGGTGAGCCGGAGCTGCCGGCTGGCCGCCTGCACTAGTGCCGGAGCGTGTGCGAGAGGAGCGAGGGAGACTCGCGCTCACACACCCGCACACGCGGGAGCGCCGCGCGGGGAGGGGACGGCCGGGCCGGCGGGGGAGGGGAGGGGAGCGGAGGGGGGCCGCCGCTCGCCGCCGCCCACGTCTGCGCTCCCGGGCGCCCGGGGAGGGGGCGCTCCTCTCCGTGGCTGCCCGCTCGCAGCGCGAGCTCCTCACCGAAGCTCCGCGTCACCAGAGCCCAGGACTCCGGTTCATTCCCACGGCGAAGAGGGGCCCGGGAGCGGGGGGTGTCGGGAGGGGGGCGTCCCCTCTGGAGGCCGGCAGCTCCGGCCCGGCCCAGAGCTCGTGGCCGCTCCCACCCCTCCCCGGTCCGGGCGTGCGCGACCTGAGCGAGTGTTGGGGTGTCTGCGAGCCTTTGCCTCTCCCTAGTGGCGACGCTCGCAGCTGAGGGACGCGGTCAGGCCCATTGCTACAGGTTCCTAAACTGAGACCTGGGGTCACGCGGCTCGCCTGAGGTTACTGGGCCACCGGCGAGCGGGGACTAAGCGCTCCCCGCCTTGGCACTTTGCTCTCCCACCGGTCCCCCATCCTCCGTCGTGCATACGGGCAGCCCTGGGCAGGCCTCGTTTCCTCTTTCTGAGACTTTCCCCAGAGCGTCGGGGCAGAGTTAGAAAAAGTCTCTGAGACTCAGCTTCGAAATGCCTTCGCTTTAGCTGATGGGGGCCGGCGGCCGGGGGTGGGGGTGGTGGAGAAGGGGGCGTTCCTGCGTGGTTACTGGTTTGGTCTGTAGAAAGCAGGCCTGGGTCTAACTTCAAAGCCATGAAGCCACCCAAGGGGGAGTTATAATCATCATCTGACCATGATGTGTGTGAGTGGAGGCGGGGGGGTGGGGGTGGGGGGGCGGTGGGCATAGAGGAAAATGAGAAAGAAAAGTAACGTCCAAAATTCTGCCCACGGTCCCAGCCTGGTGAACAAGTGCCCAGGTACTTAGGTTGAAGGCAGGGGACAGATCCTCCCCGTGTGGGCAGTAGAGATTGTCCCCAAAGCTGTCCATACAGTCCCAAGTGTGACCCGAACCAAGGACCCCAGTGCAGGAGAGGCAGAGCACATTTTCCCCAATCCGGAATGCATCAACAGGTCTGAAACCCGGATCCCCAGACACGAGAGGGAAGTCTGGATCCTGGGATGGGGGGGTTCACAAACTCCCCTGGCAGCCCCCCACTTGCTACTATGTCTCCATCTCCTCCCTCTTCCCCCCCACCCTTTGCCACCCACCCCACCCCCAATTCTCTCTACTCAGCCACCGCCTTCTTTTTGATGACCGTTCAAGGAGCGTTTATTTAGTCAATCCTTACTCTCTACCCAGGCGCTAAGCGCTGAGATAAAAGATGAACAAGACAGTCTGTTTCCTCAAGGAGAAGGAGCTTGTAAACCATTGGGCAGGCAGATAGCAGGTTGAGGACCGTATCCCTGGTTATGTCCCATGACAGAGGGGGCACAGGGTGCTCCAGGAGGCCCCCAGGAGAGGAAAGGTGGCTCAAAGGCAGCTTTCTCCATGAGGTAAGGAGCAGAGTCTCAAGAAGGACTGAAAGTTAACACAGCCAACAAGAGTGAAAAGGCACTCCCTGTCAGAGGGACCATCGCTCACAAAACCCAGCAGACAGGAAAGAATGAGGGTATGTGAGCCTGGGAGACAGCAGCTGAGCATAAACTTGGAGGGAGTCTTCCAGATAAAGCTGGTAGAAGGGAGTTGCATTCCCTGCCAAAGAACTTGAATTTATCCTCCAGCCGATGGGGAACTATTGGTGGGTTTTACTCAAAGCGAAGACTGTCAGATTTATGTGTTCCCTGGATCTCTAAGTCTGCTGGAGTAAGGAACACTCGATTCAGACTCTTCTGAAAAGAGAGATGTGAAAACCTTTCTGATAATCCAGGTAAAACATGATGAAGGGATGAAGTAGGTTTCTGGTAGTTGGTGGTCAGAGGGCAAGTTGAGGACAGCATTTAGCAATGGCCATGTTGATATGCCCTAAGGGCCATGTAAAGAACCCTAAGTGATGCAGTTCAGCACAAGGATTAAGCTCAAGAGAGCAGATAAGAAAATATATACATTTGAGAATCATAACATATGCTTGTGCATTTGGGAATCACAAAAACATATTCTTTACTTTCAGATTATGTGCGATTTTAAAGCCAATCACTTCCTTTTCTCTTCCCAGAGCTTTCACCTCTCCGTCATTATTCCAAAATTGCCTCTTCTGTATCTGGGAGGTTCCTAGCAATGGATGGAAATGTGCCTTCCTCATGTGGGACTCTAACAAGGTTTGATTCGTGGCACTTAGTAAGGAAAATAGCTTTGTCTTTTCAGGCCACCCTCACAAATATGTTCTGAATCCTTACACTCGTAGATGGTAGGTAGCATCAACAGTCTCACAGAAAATAGTAGATCTCAGAATCGAACAGGATGTTAGGGATTATCTGTTCCAACTCTTGGGGTGGCTCCATGGTAAAAAATCCACCTGCCAATGCAGGTGACACGGGTTTGATCCCTGGGCCAGGAAGATCCCCTGGAGGAGCAAATGGCAACTCACTCCAGTATCCTTGCCTGGGAAATCACATGGACAGAGGAGCCTGGCAGGCTATAGTCCATGGGGATGCAAAAGAGTTGGACATGACTTGGCGACTAAACAATAACAAGAGTTCCAGCTCTTACCGCATGCAGTACACTTTGCATTTTACTGACACTTTGCCCTTTGCAGTTGACCAGGCTGGTGGTCCACCAATACTCATTATCCTCTTTCTCCTTCTAATTTCAACACCTTAGTCGTTGATAGTACAGAAACATCTTTCCTTTGTGGATGTATGTGACTTACGAAAAAGTGCCTGAGAAGCATCATCTTCTTCGACACCTGTACCAACTTCAGACCGCTCGTAGGCTCAGGAGACAGTGACCCAACCCCTGGCTCTAGAAGGTGGATCCCAGCTGGGCTGAGCCAATTCTAATAATCCCACTCCCGTTACCAGATTGGTTAAGAATGGACATGTGATCCAGTTCTGGCTAATGTGAAGTGTGGGAACTGTTGGCAGATTCTGGGGACATTTTTCTTGCTCTGCTTTTTGAAGTGTTGTTTCCATGGATGTTATGACCTTATGGGGGCAAGAGAGTGAACCAAGGAAGGACAGAAACTGGTCATTAGTTGAAATTGCCATTCAGTTTGGTAGTCATTAGTGCTACTTATGAAATATCTCTGCCCTTCCAGGCAGATGGTAAGAATTGCAATTCCTGGCCCTTTAGTGAGTAGGAGGGGAGAGTGACTTAATATACCACTGGTCAAAAATCATGAACATAGAGGGGTGGGGTGGGGAGGGAGATGGGTGGGAGGTTCAAAAGGGAGGGGATATATATATATATATATATATATGTATGGCTAATTCATGTTGAGATTTGACAGAAAACAGCAAAATTCTGTAAAGCAATTATCCTTCAATAAAAAGTAAATAAATTTAAAAAAAGAAATCATGAGCAAAGATGGTGCATGTCAGTTCTGAACCAGAGCATCCAGTTACTGCTTTAAGATACTGTAGAGCTCTCGTTTTCTCCTGGTTCAGCGAACAGCTATGCTCCAGGTGGGAGTGGCTTTGTTGGCCTGGAATGATGTCAGTGAGGAGAGCCACACAGTTAATAAAAATAGTGCCTCACCGTGGACGTGCAGCCTGAGTGAAAATACACATTGTTTTCTTAAAGCCACTGGAATTGGGTCTGTCATTGCAGTGTATCCTAACACATCCTGACTGATACACTGAAGCTCACAGAAGGGACGTCATGGAGCAATTCAGGGAGTTTTGCCCAGGGCTCTCACAATGCCAGTCTTCCAATAACATGAGATAATTAAGCTTCCTCTGTCAAAGCCTCTTTGAATCCAGAGTTCTTACTACAAGCAGGCAAAGGTAATCCTGATGGATAGATCATGTATTTTCTGTCTCCATTCTGGCTTAGGGTTTCCACCTAGCCATGGCAGACAAACGATGGCCACTTCTCTTCACAAGATGTGGCATCTGTTTGTCCTTCCTTTGAGGCTAGGCCAGCCTTGTGACTTGTCTTGACTGACAGCATGTGGCGGAAGTGATGCTCAGCCAGTCTGAATGTAGCCATTACGAGGCCTGGCCATGTCTTCCTTTGCATTCTTGAGGTTGAGCTGCTGTATGAGAATCACAGGCTTCCTGTTACGTTCAGTGGTGAGGAGTGAGGCCACCGCGTAGAGAGAGACCCTGGGGAGATGAGATGCTTGCTACCTTTGGCATCTGATTCGCAACTGAGCTCCCAGTGGAGTGAAGAAAGGACTGGACCCAAGTGAGGCCAGAAGAAGAATCATCCATCTCAGCCACAGACAACCCACGGAATCATGAGAAGTGACAGATTAGTGTTGTTGTAAGTGTCTGAAGCCACTAAGTGTTGTGATGGTTTATTACAACACAACAGACAGCTAAGGCAATTCACATATCACAGCATAGAGGCTGAACAGGAATGTATGAGCTGCAACTTCTGGCCACTAGATGTCTGAAGCTATTTTTCATGAGCTGCCGTGTGAGTTTACTGGAGCTGCCTTCACAAAGGACCACAAACTGGGTGGCTGGCAGAACAGAAAATGACGAGTTCACAGTCCTGGAAGCTGGAAATCTGAAATTAAGGTACGGGCAAGGTTGGTTCCTTCTAAGGACTGTGAGGGAAGGATCTCTTCTAGGTTGTACATGGCTGTCGTGTAACCCATGATGTTCTTGTATGCATGTGGGTCTCTGAGTTCCCCTCTTTTTATGAGAACATCAATCATTTTGGATTAGGGCCCACTCCAGTTACTTCATTTTAACTTTATTACCTCTGTAAAGATCCTGTCTCCAAATAAGGTCACATTCTGCGGCACTGGAGGTCAGGACTTCAACTTATGAATTTGGGGGTGGAGGAGGGGAGGCACCATTCAGCCCACACATATGATGAATGGAAGGGTGATGTGCGCTGTACAACACAAGATGAAAATGTGTGTGCGAATGAAGAAGGAAAGAAGAGAGGTCAGTCAGGTTTGCCATCTTTCAGTAGAGAGATGTTAGAGAATTGCAGTTCAAGCCATGTTGGAGGTGAGTACTCTTTTTCACACCCTCTTCAAGACTGAAAGCAATTGCTCTAGTGAAAGAAGAGAGATTCCAAATAGGAAGCATAGGAAAGGGTACTCTGTCTTCCCCTGGCGGTCCCCACCTAAAGGTAGAGTTAGGGAAGTTTGCATCCTGCATAGTTAGAACTCTAGAATTGTAGCATTTCAGAATTTGCAAGAATTCAGAGCCTCTAGACACTTTTTTCTAAGCAGACTTCTAGTTGCCCAGACAAGTGAGGGCAAAAATGATTATCCCCATGGCTAGCTTGGCTCGGGATTAACTCACATCTGCATTCATTTATTC